GATCCCTAGTGAACATAAGGTTTGTGAATCAGTGGACACACCGGGACTGGTGATAGGAGGCAAGGAGAGGAAGGATGGTTTGAAGATGAATGGGGGTCTGTGCAAGGCCAAAGCCCAAGTTCCCAGCAGCGGTGCGGGTATTATGTAGCACCAGAAGTGAAAGTGGCACCTGAATCTTCCTCTTTTTGCCACCAGAGTTGGAGGATTGGGACCCTCAAAAGGGCTGTGAGCTACCTTGTGGGCAAGATGGCCTGGAATGGGACCCGAAGCTGCATGCATTGCAGCCCTGCTCAAACTTACACTTAACATGACTGCATTTTCTCAGCAAACCCGGCAGGGAGTATCATGCCTGAATGCCAACTTGGCCTTATATAGGTCAAGCCTGGATCATATATGAGGCTCCACGTAATTAATGGGTCATGCCAGGAAATCTCACTAGGGGATTCCCTCCTATGAAACTCCTCATCATTGTCTATAGCCATGGATTTGTAGGCCATGGTCCACACCCTTAAAACATTTGACATATGGTTAACCAAATGCCAACCACACTCAGGATATGCCGATAGCACTATTCCCATAAAAACTGAATAACCAGACAGCCAATTTAGGAAGGTGCGCTCAGCTACTCTGTTGAAGTTGCCTTTTTTGTCAGAACAAGGCCCCCATTTACCCTCACCTCCCTCTGGTCTCAATAGGGAAAACACATCTACATAATAGCCATCAAGAACCTGTTCCTGTACCTTGCAGGGGAGGTGGATGCCAGGAGGATCTTCAAAGCTGCTATTGGTCATTGAAGCCCTGGTAGCACCCAATTGCTCAGACCCCCAAACCACACCCAGACCTGCAGTGCCCAGGCTGGTAGATCACCAACGCCGGTGCACAAGCCCTTTAAAGCTCCATTGTTGAAGAGTCGATTCCAAACAAGTGTACTCTACCCCTTCCACCAACTGTAAGGCACGCTGATCCAATGCACCACATAGCAGCAGGATCTGCATGTTAGTGGCCTCTGTTGACTGTGAATACTTGTAGTTAAAGGGGAGTCGATGTTCGAAGTACATGCGAGGAGCTAAGCCACAAGCAGAAGACAGAGCCAAGATTTGAAAAAATCAAGAGCTTTAAATAGGGAAAGGGAGTTCTGACATGGTGCATCATCCTCCCAAGGTTCCCCTCCCCTCCCCTGATGATGTGGCTGCTGATCGGGGAAGTGCCGCTGGGCATGGCCCTAGCCTTCTGGCCACATGCTCTTCCTAGCTGGCAGCAGCAGGCCCCATTCTTCCTTGCCCTACTCCAGGCTTGGCTTGGGCAACAAATGTGGTGCTTTGTAAGCACCAGTGCTTACACCTAACTTGTGTTCCAATTTTACTTTGGGCTACCAGTGGGCCCCCATCTAAGGTAGCTTCAGGCACAAAGAGATCATTAACAGGGTCCCATAGTTTTCCCAGGTTGTCTATCCCCAGCACCTGATACTTACGGACATACCATCTTTGAGGATACAGATTGAATATGTAAGCATTATGGCAAACGGGTCATTTCCTGCCGGAGCGCACAGGAGCGGAGCTCCGGCAGTAAAGAGCCCAGGGGGCGGGCACATGCAACAAGCCACACCCCCTGCTCCCAGCAGCCCTCAGTCAGAGCAAGAAGCAGCCAGGTAAGTTGCAGAGCCCCCCCCCCATCCCCCCAGTCCAAAACAGTCCTTTAAGACCAAGTTTTATTCAGGTACAAACTCTCCCTCCTCTGCGAGGACAGATCTGCACGTTCTCCCCCTCCCAAATAGCTAGCAATCCAAAACAGTCCAGTGGAGCCTGAGCGGTGGGTGTTGCCTTCTGACACACTTCCGGTGATGTCAGGGGGTGTGGCATATACAAATAAGTTATGCTAATGAGTTATGCTAATGAACTCCTGCACCTCTTTTTCTACAAAATGACCCCTGATGGCAAACAACCTATTTCACTGTTATTTTAAGAGCTGTACTGCATGTTTGCCTATCTGGGGATGGTAAACCAGTGTTTTTGAAGGGCAAATTATTTTCTGGATAAATATGTTCTAACTTTTGTCAGTCCTGTTTTGTCATTCCCCCTACCCCTTATTACTAGGTCTCCTTCCTGGGAATACTTATGTGGACAATCCCAGTCTATCAGATATCATGTACTGAACTGGATGCTGTAATAACAATATATAACCATTCAAATTTAGCGATATAATGACATTGGTGGGGGCATTCATGAAACATTGCTGTCAGTGATAATCACCCTACTTCCTTTTGTTAAAATGCCTGAAAATTTGGTAAAAGGTGGTGGGTGCTTTTTGATGCTGCTTGAAATACAGATGAAAACCACATCTGCTGTTTGCTCAGTCCTTATTTCTTTTGCATACTGATTTAGCTGAAAGGATTATATCTACCTGAACCACTATAAAACATGGCTTGCACAAACAGTGTATAGAAACAAAATCAATATCCTTAGCTACTGTGCACCTTCACAAATGAATCAATTTTATTTGTGTTGGACTAAAGCCATAAAAAAGCAGCAGGATGGAAGGAGGGGAAGACAGATGCAACATAGAGAAACAGCAGTAATTCATGATATAGAGAAGGTAACATTAAGGAATGCCAATGTATACCAGGTCAACTCAAGTCAGAGTTTATGGACTGAAAACCATTGACGAGCGTAGGCAGGAAAAGAAAACAAATAATTCAAGTGCGTGTGTGTGATATAGCATAAAAAGGAACATGGAATTATTCTCTGCACAAGATACCACATTTCAGAAGACAGATCGTAATTCATATTGTCTGAAGTAGTATAGCGAACATAGCAACCACATACATTTAATAACTGTCTCCATCAGATACCAGCTGCATTATTTTTTACTGTGGTTTAAGAGTAAAATATTCTTAAATAGTTCCTTCTAAAATGTTTGACTAGGGGGCAGTATATTAAAGCAATATAATATGTAGTGTAGTAAAATATATAATAGTGTAGAATACATTGTTATGTGGTAAGACATTCACAGGTTTATCTTGCTGAACCCCCTGTTCAGTGGTGGAAATGCAAAACTAGAAACATCCCAACAGTATCCCCAGCCTTTGATCTTTCAGTGCTTTGCCTAACTGGAAGTAGAGGTTTTTAGGACATTAACATACAACGCATATATAGACACAAGGACCCCACATTTATTCTCTGTAGTGGATTTTTAAAAAGAATCATGATTTATGTTAATACATTTAAAACTTCAGTGAGTACAAAAGTGTAACCATCACTACCATTTCAGTTCTGAAGTATTTGAAGAAGTGTGCTTGCATGCAAAAGCTTATATCTTGAATTAAGAAGAAGAAGAAGAAGAAGAGATTGGATTTATACCCCACCTTTCACTACCCGAAGAAATCTCAGAGTGGCTTACAATCACCCTTCCCCTCCCTACAAAAGATACCCTGTGAGGTAGGTGGGCCTGAGAGAGCTCTTTTGAGAACTGCTCTTTCCAGAACAGCTCTGAGAGAACTGTGACTGACAAAAACTTTGTTGGTCATAAGGTGCCCCTGGACTCAAACTTATTTCAGTTCTTAGTATCGCTGTAGACATGCCATGTGGTACCTGCAAAACTAATTCTAAAGAACTGTCTTTGAAGAGTCACCAATTTGGCAGTGTCTGTCCAGCCTGGCACCATTGCACCAGCACCAAGGTGTGCAGCATGTTTCCCCATGAAGATCGTCTGTGTAGGTAGACAGAATCATACTGCTTCCCCCAGATTTAAAATTGTATCGGGTAGCCTGAAAGGCTTGAAACCTGGTGGCAGTTCCCCAGTTTTTCTGGTTAGTTGAACCTCTATACATAATAAATTTGTGACCTGTCCTGTACTGTCATTATCTGGTTTCCATATGTGCACATTAGGGCTCTTAATTCAGCATAATTCTTCAGCAGGTGTTGCTGTTCACAATATATCCATAAACAAATATTAAATGACATTAGCTAGTTATTCTACTGGCAGCAAGCCATGATTATTAGTCATATTACCACCTTGCTGTCCTTTTAAGTACATTTTTTAACCCATGATGCTAAAAGTGCTTTTGTCCTTTCCTCATGTCCGTGCACGATCACTGCACATGCAAAACTGTATGAGGAAAGCTCAACGGTACTTTCAGTGTGAGAGTATAAAAAGAAGTTTAAGGCATTGTTTGAGATCCAGCCAGGTTTTCACTCTTCCCTTTTACCACCTGCAAATTCGTTTCTGACTTAAACATACTTCTGCTTCCTTTCAGCAGGGTTAAAAGGAAATAGCTGAGGAATGGTTATACACAGGAGGGTTGCCAGCTCTGGGTTGGGAAACACCAGGAAATCTGGGGAGGTGGAGTCTGGGGAAGGTGGAGTTGGGGACATAGGCGTAATCTTCGTGGGGGCGGCGGGGCATCAGCCCCCGCGGAAATTTTCAGGAAGGTGCTCAGCCTCCCCCGGGGGCCACCCTTGCTCCTAGCACAGCAATGCCTCTGGCCAGCCCCAGCCCCCCCCACCCGGGAAATTGGAAAGTCTACACCCTTGGTTGGGGAGGAAAGGGACCTCAGCACGGTATGATGCCATAGAGTCCACCCTCAAAAGCAGCCATTGTGTCCAGGGGAACTGATTTTGGTCATCTGGAGATCTGTTGTAATAGTGGGAGATCCCCACCTGCCACCTGGAGGTTGGCAACCCTTATACTCAGGAAGAGATTTTTTTTTTCCCTTCTAAAAACTTCATTTCCATCTCTGAACTTTCACCTCAGGGATGCCAGAGTCAGAGTTCATGATCTTAAAGAACCAGCAGGCATCCAGGACTTTTCCCTAATGTAGCGCTCTGTCTGCAGCTGCAATGTTATTAAACGGATTTCCAACATGGGTCTTATTACAATGCATTTTAGATCCAATCAGAACAAAAGAAATATGTGCACTTTAGCAAGGCAGGATAAAGACATTAAAAACTGACAATGCAAGAGGCACCCCATTACTCAGGAAAAATATTTTATAAAACTGTTACCAGTGCAGTTCTTCTGAAAGTTGGGGTTCTCCAGCGGATGTCCCGGCAGGCGACACTGGAATCTGTGCTGCCAAAATTCTGGGAACCAGGGATTTCTTGTGTTCTCCTCCAAATGCAGTTTCAAAAAATAATCATCAAAGGACAAGACTTCTGGAGACTGCAGCTTGATTGTGATGCCTCCGTTTGCTTCAGCCTCGTACCCTTCAATCACTTCATCTCTATCTGCCCATCCGTCACTGGAAGAAAGAAGCAAGAACCATTTGGAAGGGCAAGAAATGGGTGCTGAAGTACATCCAGATCATAGCGTGTGTTTTTTTTTTAAGTAAATACTTCTGAGGGTTCAGGTGAAGGAAAAACAAGGGCCATGCCAATATTATGCATCAGACTTTATGAGAAAAGATAATGTTCTACTTACCGTTCATTTAGACTCCTGAAGCATATAAGATAAGGCACTGTGCAGGCCACAAAATAAATCTGAGGAGTACAAGGCTTCATAGGGGAGCTACATCTTACAATGCATTTTCTCTGTATGGACTAGCTTTCACATACTGCTTATTCCAAATATGAAAGATATTATATTGCAAATTTAGTTCTCAATCAGTACAATCTGATGCAGTTACTCCAGTCTTAACCCACTGTATTATTTTTGCATGGTATTGCACTTAAAACCTCTAAATTTATGGATCCAGCCTGAACCTATGATACCTTTTCAGGATTCAGGGTAATTTGACAAGAACTTCGTGGGAGATAAAAAATAAACAAATGGTTTGTACCATTCCTCCTTTCCAATGTGATTGGATTACAGCCACAGGTTTCACATTATTTTAATTAGTCTCTGGAATGACATGCTACACAGTTTATTATTTCAGTAAGCACAATGCATGAAGGTGGTAAAATAAACAGAACAGGACGAAGAAATACATTCACAGCAGAGGTCATTTCGGGGGGGAACGCAGGGGAACGCAGTTCCGCCGGGTGAGGTGCAGGGGGCGGGGCACATGACGAAGCCTTGCCCCCTGCTGCCGGCCGCCCCGCTTCCAGCCCTCATTCAGCCAGGAGGAGGCAGGAGAAGAGGGAGGGCAAGTTGCTTCCTCCCCGCCTCTCCCCACCCCTGCCTGCCTGGGGCCAGGGAGGGCCTTGGCGGGGCTTCCTCGCACTCCCGCTGGCCTTGCAGGTCCACCGCCGGGCCCCTGATGTCAGGGGGTGTGGCATATGCTAATGAGTTATGCTAATGAGTTCCCCTAGCTCTTTTGCTACGAAATGACCCCTGATTCACAGTGTAACAGAACAAACAGAAATGTTCTAAGAAAACTGAATCCACTGAAAGTCTGTATGCATTTTATAATTATCTGGCAAATTCAGAAAAAAGCCCCAGAGAAAGGAGCCGTACCACTTCCCCAAACATACTGCTGAGGAGACAGGGTTGTCAACTCCCTCACTGGAGCCCCTCTCACTGGGGCAAATAGTGGTTTCCTAGGGCTATTTCAGGTTGGTAAAATGGCATGGGGGGGGAACTCCCCACCTGCCATGATCCCAATCTGAATTGGGCCCACAAGCACCTAGGAGGCATTTGGGGGGAAAGTGTTATAAGGTTAAGTGTAGGCAGACAACCCTATAAGCGTATAACTGAATCTCTTTGGACAGTCCTACTTTACCACATTTTGCAATTTAAAAAAATCATTTGTATCTTTGCATAATATTACAGCACTTTTTAGGATATATTATAAATTGCCTTGGATTTTCTTTTTGGAAAAAAATCAGGTTAATTTTTAAAGCTATATGGTGCCCCCTATTGGGAAGTGACAACACATACACAGTGTTGACAAATATTATGAAAATTCTCTGAAGGAGCAAAGTGAGATTTACTAATAATGTCAATTAATTGTCACATTCTTAGAAAGAAACAAAGCAACAATGCAATTTAAATCCAACCCTACTTAAGTTTAAATTTTTACAGCAGGTTGGTTGCTGCTGAGAAATGCTTCTATGGGCTCCTGTTTTGTGTTTGTCTTTAAAAAAAACACAAAAAACCTACTGGAGCTAAATGCAGGAGGCGGCGGGGGATTTTTTATCAAGGAAATAGCATGGGGAGGTTAACTACTCCCCCTGCACCAAGGCTCTATTCCATATCAGCCCCCCCCCCTGGCATGGCTACTTTTTGTAGCTTAGTTACAATTTGGGGTTTCCTATCACGGCTCCTCATTGACATGTATCGTTCACTTCCAAATGACCCAGTCTCCACACAGCAACTGCCATTACAGTCAAGTGTCTCAAAGGTACACAGGATGATTCTCTAAGAGCCATTTGAGTTGAAATCACCATGGTTTTTACAGATCGTCTATGCGTGGATGGGCATGGATTGGCACCCAGGTTTTCTGAGTTCAAGAGCAGAAAGCTGCTACACTGAGTTTGGTGTGGATTAGTACAACAACCTTAAAATGTTGCTCAGGTGTAAGAATTTGGTATACAGAAATGGCAACTGAATGGATCAGAAGTTAGGTAGGACTTCAATTTTCAAGTGTTGTGAGGTATCACAAGGTGACAATCTAGACTACACTGTCAGATAATGTTATTGGTGTAACCTTTTGCTCTGAATCTGGCAAGTAGTACAATTAAAAGTACTGACGCTGTCTGAGGGCGTTGAAAGTATGAAGGCAGAGAAGTTGCTTGGAAGGGACATGTGTGTGGGAGGAGAACCAGCAATCGTGCTCCTCGCTGTCAGGAAAAAGAGACAACCAACTGTTTTCATTGCTGTTTCATGTTGTGCTTGCCACAATCAGTGTGGCTGCCAGTTTTCTACAAGCTGCACTTATTTAGATGCCTCATGTTCCAGAACAACAACAAAAAATTATGCTTTTTACAGGCACAATAAAAAACTGAACACCATGCAAAACAGCCCAGACATAAGGAATACTCCTTGGTTCAGATTTACCATAACTAGCAACTGGCAACATTTCATTGAGCAAAATCCTGAGGGGGGATTTCCTTCTTCTTTGGTTTACTACTGTGCAGCCGCTGATATTTTTATTTGTTCTTAGTGCTTATACCACTGATATACCTGGATACAGTTATAGCTACCTAGCGAGCCAGTACTTGGGACAGCATACGTCACAGGTGAGTATTGCCGCGGAGGAGGTTGGCAAGAAGGAACTGGCCTATTCATCTGCCTCCTTTGATCCAAAACATTGTTAGGGTCTATGCAAATTTCTCATGATACTCAGCTTCAAGACATGGCTCCCTGCCTGCTTCCTCCCTGCCAATGCAAACTTCACAATAGAGCATTTACTATGGTAGAGTGCAAACTACAGGAAGGCTTGGAGTGATAAATATGCAGGTGGTAGCTGCAATGTAGTATCCAACCTCCAAGCAAATCCACATTTTTGGAGGAGATACTAAAATGCCCAATTCAGGCAGCTCCATGTTTTTACATGCACAACTCTGCTTATGAACAGTGATTGAGCAGTACTCAAAAGAAGCTGGGGTTGAAATGAAAAGTTCAAATTTATACTTTTGAAGTTTGAGCCTGGTTTGACATTGACTCCCATTTCATAAAAGTTTGTAGATTTCTGTATCTTTTACACACACACACACACACACACACTGGCCTGTCCCTTTAACATAGCTTTATGTGTGGAAATGAGTCACTGATGCTTTTAATGGCATGACAGTAAATAAGATCCTGTTTAGCCTCTGTTAAAGTGACCATTTTTCTACAGGCAGTTGGCAACCCTAACAGGATCTATCCCTTCCTAGTCTGACATGCTAAGCTCTACTATATGACAGCAGTAAATAAGATCCTGTTTAGCCTCTGCTAAAGGGACCATTTTTCTCCAGGCAGTTGGCAACCCTAACCAGGATCTATCCCATCCTAGTCTGACATGCTAAGCTCTACTATATGACAGTTTCCTGCCATTTCATACATACAAATACATAGAGGCATTTCTGGAGTTTAAATGGTTCTACAGCAGGTAAGAAGTTCAACAGACAATGCCGGTAATCACTGAGTTGCTGATCATAAAGTAATAAAAATTAAACATTTATTTAAGTATTGTACATATTCTGCCACAGCTGCTGCTGCAAGAGTAACTGCCTTGAACTCTTTCAGCTTGCTCACCCTCCAGCTTTAATCAACCTGTGCAGAAATCTTTGCACATAGCCTGCCTAGAAAATTAGCATGCCAGGGAAAAGACTAAACTGGACTTCACATCCATGAAATCTGGTTTTCTACGTGCAGAAGGGTTTATTTGCTTCAATTTATTTACTTCATTTGTAGCCTGGCTTTTTCCACAGTGGAGACCAAAGCCACTTACATCACTGTCTGTTCCTTCATTCTGTCCTCACAACAGCCCTGTGAGGTAGATTAGGCTGAGAGTGTGTGATTGGCCCAAGGTCACCCAGCAAACTTCCATGGTAGAAACTGGATTTGAACCTGGGTCTCCCAGATCCTAGCCCTACATTCTAACTAGTATACCATGCTGGCTGTCTCAATCTGTTGTTTCTTTTTTGAATATCAGTGTTCCATTTTGATTTTGAAAGTGGTAAAGTCCAGAGCCAGGTGAGAACTAGACCAGAAAGTCATGTGGCAAAGCATAACAAATCATTTGTAGCTTTGCAGTTATGCGCTTCTTAAAAATATAACATTTCGAAGATCATGGTTATATTTAACATAATATACAATCCTATGCAGCTATTTCCAGTGAAAGCCCCTTGAAATCAGTGAACTATTTAGGGAGGAATAAATCTGCATAGGATTACACATAGTCTAGCAATTATATACAGTGTAAAAAGGGCATAATCAGCAACACAATCCATCCAAAGCTAAATATTTTGAATCCCCCCTGTCCTGAAAGTGAAATAGCATATGCTTAACTCTCCTACATAAATCGCTGGGATTAGTACCACAGAATCCTAACCATGTTTACTCAGAAGCAGGGCTCATTTCCTGCAGGAGTGCACAGGAGCAGAGCTCCGGCAGTAAAGAGCACAGGGGATGGGCACATGCAACAAGCCCCACCCTCTGCTCCCAGCAGCCCTCAGTCAGAGCAAGAAGCAGCCAGGTAAGTTACAGAGCAGAGCCCCCCCCCCGGCCCCCAGCCCAAAACAGTCCAGTGGCACCTTTAAAGCCAAGGTTTATTTAGGTACAAGCTCTCCCTCCTCTGCGGAACTTCAAGGGCACACCCCCCCCCCAATAGCTAGCAATCCAAAACAGTCCAGTGGAGCCTGAGCGGTGGGTGTT